CTTGATTAGAAGTGACCCTACTTTCGAAATGTAATTTACTGGCAGCAGAAAATGACTACAGTTTGTACATTACCTAACGTCTAAAGGCCGAATAGTAAACAGAGAAAAGCTCGGTTGGGGAAAAAAAGTCAATAGTAAAAAATACACTGAATAGCCAGACTTGTTTAAAAAATACTAATTCTTAAAATTCTCAGAATTCAGTAAAGCGGCTAAATGCCTTAGTGGAAATAAGGCACCCTGAAGCATTCAAATGTATAAAAAGTCATGTTAAGGTATACACAAGTTTGATGTACAGGGTAATCGACACTAAACGGCAGTGCCTTTACCGATGAAAGTTTCAATACAAAGGCCTGAGAAGAATGTGAAAAAACTCGCACATCAAGTGTGAGTGTTGATGCAGTTACTTCTACGACATGAATGATGTCGTACGTCCAAATATTGAAAACATACTAAATGTAAAACACGTAACTGTTTATCTCCTTTAGATTATAATTGAACTACAACATACATCCATAAAGGAAATAAAGCATGTCCTTCATTTATACTTGCTGATCCAGGAAAGCCTTGAGGCTTGACTCCCTTTGAGGAGGGTCCTGCCAAGTTTTCACAGCAGGAAGTGATGTTGCCGAGCGAGTAATTGCTGGTAGTTTTTCACAGTTTGGGATGTTTGGCCGGTACCAGTGATATGATAGTTCATGTTTATATTTGGCTATGGAACGAAAATTATGCACAGAACAAGGGAAGAGCAAACTAACTCGAGACAGAAAGGTGTCCGAGTCAGGAATTGAACCTAGGTCCTTCTTGATGCGAGGCACAAGTGTTACCACTGCACTACCCAGCTGCCAAGAGCGTCATATAAAGAAATGGTACAGTTTAACAGCCAATAACCCATAAAAAAATAATTAAAAGTACATAATTATTGGATGTCATGATACAATACCCAAATTACTGTATGTAGCCTATGATCTAAAGGGTTGATCTGTAACAATTTGGGTGGAAATACTACCAGTATCCACCATTGGTAGTATTCACCACAAGTAGAAATCTATAGCATCTATATTACAGGTATTATCTATTTATTTTCATATATTATGTTCATCAAAAAAATTACCAAAACGATATTCTTCATAAAACATACATATTCCCTTTTTCATGACCCTTGTCTCATCGAATGCTACCATTCTGTTCTTGCTATCGCACACATGAGATATATAAATTCAATTCTCAAAGAAAATAACTATTAGCAATTGTCACCCTGGACGGTACTGATAAAAAAAAACTCCTCGCCAATAACTCAAGGAAAAAAATATTGGCGGAGAATCAGTGTGCAACACTTTTGGCTCTTAATTTTAGGTATTTATTTTAAATATATTTATTACAAATATATTATTTGCAGTTGGAAGCTTGTTATCCTTTTTTATTGAATTCTACACAAAAGACATTATTTCCAAATGTTTGCATGCTCTTGTATTTTGCAAACAACCAATTGTGGGAAACGCATGTCATACCCTTAAAAAGGTAGGGGCAACACATGGAAGTTTATGTCAATTGAAGGAAGTCTATCATTGCAGATAATTGATTAGTGAAACTTCACTGCACTCAACACCTACTTAAACACTCCGTTTAATATAAGGTGAGCGTTACATGTGAAAAATCAAGGAATGAAATCCAATACTTTTAGCAAGGTCAGTGTGTGTCTACATTCGCAAAGATCACTCCGAAAACCTGGACAGACCATTGAGAAATTACCATATATTAATTAAAGCTGTGTTGACCACTTATTCAATGGCCATATTTTTCTCCATAGTGGCAAAGACAACACTGCACGAGGTTGTTATATGAAGCTTACGTGAGCCAGTGATTCTCGTGCACTATGATAGACATTGCCACTAATTATCATGTCACTACTGCGAAACTAACTACCATATCACTGCATCCTATCACTATTCTCAACCACACACGCATGTATACGTGCAGTGCGTGTAAAATTTGTCACTTTAATGTTAGAGATGACATTTGGTCATTAGCCTCTAAGCTTCGAGAAGTTGGTGATGTTTTGCAAGGGTTGGGCGAAGAGAAAATATGAATTTCCAGTCGAGTAATTTCTATTTGTGTAATGTCTTTTGAGGGCAGTAATGAGCATGCGATCAATTGTCTTTAAGAATATATATATAAAAACAAGCACCTAAACTATTTACAGCAGCATATTAATATTTACATGGCCAACAACACACAATAATTTGATCAGGCCAGTGCAAGTGATGTTTCTACATTCGACTTATTTTATTTAAAAGTTTCCTTGAGCCCACTGAATACTCTCCAAATTCTCCATTACATGTACTTGTGGCATTTTTGGATGAAAGGCCCTGAGAACAGTGAAAAAAGCAGTTAGCCAAATTTACTTTCAGAAAAGTAAAACAAGCAAAACGGTGTCGTAATTCTGGTATCTAATTGGGCAACAAATGCCAGATGCCATAAACTTGATAGTAGAGTCATCCAGAGTACTTTACATCACTGAGTGGAGCACAGTTTGTTGTGTATGTGTCCTTGCAATAAGCAAGCTGTCCACTTGCCAAGGTGTGCATATTAACGTAAAATAAAAATCACTAAATGTATCACGTTTTCCATAACACACCATCTCATTGCTCTATTTCAAATAACAATGAAAATGCGGCATTTACTTTTATCATCCCACACAAACTAGCCAACCAACTGCTTAATACTTTGCTGCAAGTATTTCAATGCTATATGATTGGCCACTGGAGTACATGGAGTGTGCAGGAATGACATTTCAGTTAACTATGTATGATAAAGGGAACCAGAAAGGAATACAAGAAATACAATTCCAAAGCAGCACCAACAAAACTATGGCCAAATCTCCATATTGGTAAATTATTTTGGCACACGTTTGGATGAAAGATAAGTGCTTTCTTAAGGATATAGGAGTGTTTATTGACAAAAATGTTCCTTAGTTCATAGAGAAGACCATAGCTAAAAATCACAATATTGATACACCGGGAAGAGGTAGAGCAGTTATTAATGCGCTGAGCTATAACCCCATTGACCCGAGTTTGATTTCCAGCCATGGCTAACATTAGTGGCGAGTGATATCTGAACTTGTCCTGGACCCACCCTTCACCAACTCAAACTTGCAAGCATGGTGAAGGATCATGGATGATCAAACAGCCATGACAGACAGGAATGCTGTAAATTGATACTCCCATACTTTAATTATTTTAATGAACAACAATTCTTTTAGATTACTCCCTACATCAAAATGGGTTTTAAAACATGGGGGGCAAACAATCTGAAGTATGCAATTACAAGGAACCGGCTCATATTTCTATTACAATTGCATTTGTCGAGTTTTAGCAGCCTTCGTAGGGGCCCCAGAAGCCCACAACACCATGCCAACATTTATGTTGCAATGCCTATGAAAATGATCTCGTCTTCAAAAACCTTAGAGTATTTGGGCATTGTTTCCATGACAGGCCTCCACAACCGGAATACTGCACTGTATAACCATGTATTAAATATTTCGTGTGCCACTGATGGTATACATAATATGCTGCAATGACTTAACATTTCTGGGGAAATGCGTTCAGATTTCAAATAGAAAAAGGTGTGCTTGATGTGGTACAGTGCAGGACAGTGCGTTTTAAATTGCCTTGTAGATTATTTCTCAAGTAAAACTTGATCCGGCAAACACGTGTGTGGAAATCCATCCTGTCCGCAGTTTAGACAGTGGTTCAAAGTAGTGCGTGTTATCATGAGATTTATACAAATAACAAGACCTGCCTACAATTTGTTCTACTGAAGTGCATATTAAAAAAACATTCATCGTATTATTAAACAATCAAAACTAACGTGCATTATGAATGGATATAATGCAAGTGTCCTCGATGCTGCATTATGTAAAATGATGCACAATGTCATTTCACAATTTTACACTGTGGACAAGAACACTAATTAGTCCGTGCATAATGGGATACCATGTACGTGCAATTTTTGTCAGTGGAAAGCAATATTCATAATTAGAGGACACTATCAGGTATTTCACTAAATATTGCACATTTAGACCTTAGAGTGTATGTTGCAACAACAACAAAAACCTGCTAAATATTATACTAAACAATAAAACGCAAAAGCATAACTGGCAAAAAAGAAAGTGTTATTCGATGTTATATCTCGTAGGTCACATTTATCACGAGCGTGTCGCCGTGTGTGACTCCCGATGTCTTGACATGAGCTAAGAGCACAATGGCAACCAAAACAAGAAAACAATAATGCCGGCAAAAATGTTCTTTGCAAAAAACACATGACCGCATAATTATACATATTTCGCAAGCACACATTACCCGGTTTAAAAGCGCACATGTATTATCATAAATTAAAATAAATATGTAAACTGCCAATTAGAGAGTAAAGTGATTCAATTATATTATCAGTGGTGTTTGGCTCGCTGGACTCTACATCACTGTAAAAGGTCTACACTTGCTAGATTTTTTTTTGACAACCACACCCCTCCCTCCCTGAATGTTAAAGCACCAATCCTCACACACGTATCCCCAAAGCAACCCCACCCCCCCAACCAGTTCAGTGCAGGAAGCTGGAAAATAACGAGTCCTCCCCTACCCCCATTCCCGTTCGAAATAAAACATACAGTGCGCGTGTCCACGGATATTTCTTTGTCCACATGTTAATTTTGAGTAGGCAGGTTCTTGCAGCTAAGCATGAGACACTGTACGTTGTAAAGGCGCAACGCATTCTGACCCCTTAAACCTGATGCCGCACGGGTTATTCAATGCATTAATCTCAACATATTACTGGATTATAACCAGGCTTCTGCACAGACGTGGACATTGTGGTAATGGAGCAGGAGACGTGGGGGGGGGGGGGGTTGTAACAGGGGAGAGTGGATGGGTGGTTGTGCGAGTAGATAAAGCATTTTGGCTGGCAACACGAGATTTCGAAATAGGTCGCAAGGCATGAATTCCTACCACGGTTCCGTTGGGCGAATGCACAAGAGGTTTCAGCTCATTTAGATCAGCTTCAGCCTGAAACACACAAAGGCAACACAGCTGAGTGACCGGCTCGCACCGTCTCCCTCGAAACGCCGCACAGCTGAGTCTCTCTCGGCTTAAAATGCTACGTGTGAAAAATATACAGTGTATGAAAATGAGCAGGGTGGTGGTCAGTGAAGAAATCCCGGAGATGTTTTTTTTGTATCTTCCACACCCCCCCCCACACCCCAACCCCCCCGTGCAACCCGGTTCCGGTACCTTCTCCCACTCGCCATCCGTGACATGGCTGCGGAATTTGGTGGCTGCAGGATGCTCGAGCCTACAGCCGGATTCCTGCATTAGCAGGTCCACAGTTTGGCTGCAAAGGAATGTGCAGCAGACATTTAGGAGCATCATCAACAACATCACACAATTAAATATACCATCCCCCCCCCCAGCACATCACCGGGTACATTGCCAATGGCACATGACCAGCACACCATCACACGCAGTAACACCAACACACCGGTAAATAATCACCAGCAAACCATCATCATCATATCAGCAATACACCATCACCTTGCACGTCATTGTCACACTTGCCAGCAGACCAACATCTGCGTATGACTTGCATTCGCACACCAATAACAGCACACCATCACCATCTCACCACAGGATCACAAGTACACAGGCACACGGTCGCACGAGCACCCATCATGACCACCACACTATCAGCAGCAGTAAACCATCAGCGTTATGACCAGCAACGCCGCCAAGGCGACACCCGTGGCACCGTCCATCCGACCGCTGTCTCTCTGAGCCTTAACGGGACAATAACGAGGGCGCACCCACCACAGACGCAGCAGTCCTGGCATTTAAGGGACAGTAACAAAGCCAAGCTTACGAATCTGGCAGGCAGTTCTGTCGCATTTCATTACACTGCTTCCATTGTGTTTTACCGCCTCATCTGTTCCTCTGAGTCTTCACTACTTGTAACGTGGACGAGACGCGATCACGATTGTAGTGGTGGTTTCTGGCTGCCTTTGCCTGCCAATTAATTACTGTATTAAGATACTGGATGATGGGAGGGGGGGGTGGTTTGTGCCCAGCGGTCCGAGAGGTCAAATGCGGATGATTTAGCGAGACAGCTTCGGTGAAGAAGGGGGGGGGTGGTCCATCGCGGCTCACCTGAGCCCCATCTCGTGTAGGTGCTGCCCGACCAGACGGATTATGTCCTCGTCCGTCTGCGACAGCCTCTTCTTCCGTCTGGCGGCCGCCCCCGCCGGCCCCAACCCGGCAGCTGAGCCCCCGCCAACCCCGTTGGCTTGGGGAGGCGAACCGGGTCGAGAGGACGATCCTCCTCCTCCTCCAGCTCCAGCTCCACCACCACCACCACCACCTCCTCCTCCTCCTCCAGCTCCCGCAGTTGGGAGTCCGGGTGGCGTCGGCGGCGACGCCGAGACTTCTTCGGCGCTGCTCTCTCCGTTTCGTGCCGAGCTTGAAGCTGCCGCGGCGGCGACTAAGGAGGACGACGACGTGGACGCGGACGGGGAGGAGGAGGAGGAGGCGGCGGCTCCGGCGGCAGTGGTGGTAGAGGAGGCGGAGGTGGTCGAGGCGGCGCCGTTGGCCTGCATGCCCGGCGGGCCGAGCCGCTGTTTCTTGCGGGGCGGCGGGGAAGCTCCACCGGCCTCGGAGTCTGAAGAGGAGGCCAGAGTTGCGCGCCGTGACGGGTGCCGTGCGTCACCCAGCTGCCAGAGCCAGCTGCGCCACGGCCGCCCGCGAACGATGGGTTGAATTAAATAATAAAAAATGACTGTGGCTGTTGTATGGTGATGTTGTCGTCGTCGTTATACGTTGTGTGTGTGTGTCGCGGTGTGTGGGTCTCTAGCACCGAACAAGACCACCGGCTCTATCGACCGCCAACGGCGAGTAGCAACAGCCAACAACAACAAAAACCCAGCGCTAACAATTGAGCATACGAGAACAGAGTACTGCCGAGCGCGACGCGCGAGGGGGGGGGGGGAGGGCAAAGTCGCAACGGCGGAAAAAATGTTTTGTAAAAATTAAAGATAAATAAAAATAAAAAGGGGAGCGCGGCGGAGTGGCGACGGCGGTAGACGTCGCCTCCTCCTCCTCCTGCTGCTGCTGCTCAGCTGGCCGTGACGTCACCGCGACGTCACATCCCCCTGCAGCCCCTCCCCCTCCGCAGCCCCTCCCCCTCCGCTCCCCCTCCCCCTCCGCTTCCCCTCGACTCTCCACTACCCCCCCTCCTCTTCCCCCCCACCCGCCCCCCCCCCAGCGCGACTTCCGGTTCAGAACCCAAACAACGCCACGTGCTTCCGGTTCGGTGGGGGGGGGAAACACGCGCACGTGGTCGCGTTGGTAGCAGCGCGTTGTCCTCGGCGCCAGGACGAGGCAGGGCATTGGCTTTTGACTCCAGATGTCACCGTCGCTGTTAGGTCCCAGGCTTTTTACCTCCTCGTTCAGCTTTCGACGGCTTTCCTTTGGGGATACCTGCAGTTGACTTTGTGCAGAGATGGTCTTGTTTTTTCTCTCTCTCTCCTTAACACGAGATGGCGACAGCTTGGTGGAGAGGCCTTCATCCAGCAGTTGATTGGTCATGACTAAGGGGCCGTCCATAAATGACGTCACGCGATTTTGGACGATTTTTACCCCCCCTAGTCACACGGCGTCACAAAAAGTCACACCCCCCTCAAATATGACGTCACAAAGCTCTGCCCCCCTCCCCCCAAAAAATATGAAACATGCTTCAAATCGCTTTAAACTATTGTCATTGTATTTATTTCGGTAAAGTCACGTAGAAGGGAAACAATAAAATAATTAAAAATATAAAACAATATACATTGTAATGTGGTATACACTTAGATGCGTAACTCGTTTGCCTTTTTTAGTACTGTACAAATTGCTTGGTAAACACGTTTGCACAGCCATTTATAATTTCATCATCAGCTCCGATCATGTAAAGTTTTAACTTTTATGCCATAAAGTATAATTTACAGGGGTAACGTTCACTTTTAAGATCTTTTATACAATTGGCTACTCACAACCCAGCATTTGTTTTACCCTGCTGATGAGACTCAGAATGTTGAAACCGGTTCCATAGTTGCTTTTTCAATAAATGTTGCTGGAAAACATGTCCCGAAGATCTAAAGGCTGATGATATATTAAGATTGTATTTTATGACAAGGCTAATGCTTACTGCATCAAGTTAGGAAGAATTATATTTACATTAATACAAACAGTACATGTATAAGCTATTTGTGGAGATGGAACTAATATTGAGACAGGGACATGACTTTGAAACCATACCGTAAGCTTCGGCAGAACACGCTGCAAGGGTGGGGGAAAAACCCGATTTTTTTTGCCCGACAAATAATTGGTTTTAATGGAATTAAACCCGATTTTGCCGATTAAAACCTGGTTTTATTATCGGCGTCTCGTGCACACTTCAATCCTGCTGCTCCTCGTCGTCGCTCTCGCCGCTGGACTCGGCGTTGTCGTCGGGTAGTCGTGGAACGCGTTGAGGTTCGACTTAATGAAGACGAGCTTCTCGACTTGTGTTGTGCGCTAGGCTGTTCCTCAACTTGGAATGGATAAATCCCAGCGTCGAGAAGTTTCGCTCAGACGCAGCAGCAGCGGTCGACGTGGCCATGCTGAACAGTTTGATGGCTCATCTTCTGGAGCGCGGGATAGTCGCTGCCGTCGGTCAGCCACCACTCTAGCGAAGGGGTCTTCCTCCGCTTGGCCAGGAGCTGAAAGCGAAAGGATTTGTGTGTTCTTCTTACTTCGTCGCCGCGATCTTGAACTGTGTGTACTCCCAAGTAGAAGCTGCTCCTTGTGCGGGTCGTCGACTGGCTGGGCGCGCTTGGCGGCTGAGCCCGGGACCCGGCCCGAACGCCGCTAACGGGGTGCCTGCGACTGAAATCCCGACTTAACTTTAATAAAACCGAATAAAACCGGATTTGGGCAGGATTCAGGCGCTCCGGTTTTATATAAAAACCGATTAAAACCCGAATGACTAAAAACCGGGACGTGCCAGTCTTGACACGCTGCAAAGAACGGTTTGATGGTGGCCTAAAGGTCAAGAATGACGGCGTCCACCTTCGAGATGGAGCGATGTCATCAGCTCGTGTACAATTCCTTAGTGGAATGTTACATCGCAGGATCGTGAGAGATTACCATGGCAGCGACGATGATGACCCGTACAATTTGTATATAACAATTTACATTTATAAGGCCCAATTCATCCAGGGGTCTCTGCGCCATGCATAACGTTATGAACATGTTATTCCATTTCGCGAGGCATTCGACGGTATTCTTAAACAGCACAGTATTATCCAATTACAGTCAGCCATGATCTATTCACTGCTGGATGAAGGCCTCATGTTGTCACGGTCTTGCACCGTATGTCATCTCTTGATTGCTCCCCCTTTTGGCTGCCATTTCGCCAGTCTCGTCAATTGGCTATCATTTTAAAGTACGTGTTCTTCCCTAGCCCACTGTTTAAAGTCAATGTGACGTTTATTTTGTGATCAATGTTTTATTCCCTTCACTGCAATTCCCAGCACGTGTTGTGTAATTCTCAGCTTGATAGTCCTTTTTTATATTCTTGGTTCTTTCGGTAAGTCACGTAGAAGGGAAACAATAAAATAATAAAAATATAAGGCTCTACAACACAACAAAGTCAATCTCGTGTAGGGACAGACAGATATTTTACAATCCCTTCTAAGCAAGCTTGTTTTATATTTTATTAAATTGTTTAATACTTTTATTATTTTATTGTTTCCCTTCTACGTGACTTTACCGAAAGAACCAAGAATATGAATCCCTGCAGTCACGAAAGCTTTAAATCAAAATTTAGTCTTTTTATGTCAGAATCCCAGTTGTTGCTCTGTGGCACAGCTGATATGCACGGTTTGAAAACCCTCTTCATTAGAGGCATTGGAATGTTGTTTTTCATAATAAAATTCCACTTTACAAAGCACTCTAACCAATTATGTACTGTGATTTATATCAGGCACCATAGCTGGGAAGTCACTCGTTCTGCAAATAATGTAAAGTTTACATGTGTTTATGAGAAAACTTCCGTCGATTACTATACTGTATTGAAAGCTCTTTCACAGTGTCTTTTCCCATAGATGTGTAATGCTGTGCGGCCAGTTGTTGGCACATACAGTGAGTGCAATTGTGAGCACTATCCTGGCAACAGGCTTCTGCTTATGTCGCACTCAAAAGCCCTCATGTCATCCAATAGTACAAGAGAAAAATGCTGATTCAAGAGCTCTTACTCAGGAAATACAACTAATTGAAGATAATTTCTATTTACATCACCTGCACTATCATTTAATAATGAAATCAACCTTTCCCATTTGAGTAATTTAACATGACATTCTGGTGATGCATTGCTACAATTTATCTTGGAGTTAGCGATTTAAATCTTGATGAATCGGAAAGTACCAGATGCCTCTGGAATCATCACGTTTTTCAAATGAAACAAACTGCTTTCTTGCTAACAATTTTAGCATACACACGTATTATTTTTCTTATAAATTATTCATGTGGGAATCCTGCTCGGAGACTTTAGCATGTAACTAAAATATGTTCTAGCTGAATTTGTAATTTTCTTTAAAAATATAATATATGCCAATACTTTAATAAAGTGGTGTATTATGGAAAAACACAAGCAGAGTAATAAATTGCCAAAGGAACTAAAACAGTTATTGGTTTATAAAGGATTTCATTCTTGAACAATCTGCTTGTTTTTAATGGCGGCATTTGTTATTGTTGTATGGAAAATGAAGCTACAATAATGAATCCTTTAATAAATGAAATCCTTGTAAATAACATTCTGAGGCCAAACACTGTGGCCTCATGAGTTTTTTAGACATTTTCTGCGGTTTTGTAAGGCGTGTAGTCCTAAGGGTCCATGCAGACACTGAAACCAGTTGTCCAGAAGGCCTGTTTCTTAAGTGACATTACCTGACTGAATGAGACATACAATAGTCCCGTTTTCCTGTAAAATGTATACTGTATGATAATGTTTACCAACCCACCACTGAATTAAGGTATTTTCACGCCATGTCGGTCCTGGGGGTTATTTTACCATACTTCACACCGGTCAGTACAGGTTTGTCAAGGAGATCCAGCACTAGCTCAGATATTCCTGGCCTCTGATGGTATGCATAGCCTGGAATTGAACTCGGGTCATTGGGCTCATAGCAGTGTGCTAACCACTATGCCACTGTTCCACCCTATAAACTACATGTACTATACACAACCTAACACAAGTATATGGAATTAACAGGCAGGGATGTATCATCGTATGACAAGATACTAAATACTGTAGTTTATTTCCAGTGTAATCTGCTAAATACTGAAGAAATACTGCTAAACACTGAAGGAATACGTCGTTTAACTTACACTAGCTCCCTGAGGACAATTGCTGTCCTCGGGGAGCTAGGAACAAATATTAAGGAGTGCTGAAAAAAACCCGTGCTAAAGAACTATAGTAAGGATATTCAAATGCAAATTCTGTAGTTTATTTCCAGTATAATTTGCTAAATTATCTGAAATGTTCACAAGTCTTTTGCATAGTTATTACTTTTTGTTATGAAACTGCTTTTAATCCATATAAAATTTTCAAAGGATACCATTACATTGATTCCTTTGCTTTGATGTTAATAAAACAGAAATTTCCAAATAACCAATACATTTTATACAGCAGTATTCTTATTTGCTAAATGTGGGAAATGCCATAGCAACAACCAAAATATAATAATTTTCACAACACTTTTAGCACCTTTACTCTAAAATTATTGTGGCTGCCAAGTATATCGCTTGAAAATAAAGTCTGATTATAGGTCAACTGGTTATAGGTCAACCTTTATTCAATGTAAATATTTTTTTCTGTGCCAGCCCAGCGACACGGTTGTAGATTAATATGCAAATTTGAAAGTATTACATTTATTTAGTCAATACATTTATGCAAATCCGCAAATTTTTATGGATCAAAAATATACCTGTTTGTGCGACACACTGATGAGGTAAGAATTGACAATAGTTGTTTGACATCACACGGAACAAATATGAGAGTGATGTGCCTCCCGAGAAGCCAAGTTAAGAATACATTTTTGTGACCTTGAAATTTTCAATAATAAAATCAGCTTGTTAAATGCATTGCTTTGTTTTATTTATATTGCCGATGCTGGACTTCTGGTGGGGGAGCAAAGTGAGTGGTGGATGTGAGCGTGAAATAAAACTTATGGATATTACATTTTTAAGTGCAGATTTCCAAGAACATTTGTGGATCACCCCATGTTAGAGAATAGACCAGAGAAGGAGAAGTCTCAAGTGGCCTTTCTAAGCCACACTTGGGGATAGAAGCAGCACTTTCCCACCCACCTTGCTGCAGAGTAATGTTCGTCACGTGACATTCACATTTACATACTTCTTTGATTCTCAGTTAGGAAATATACAAATCACGTGCAGAACCCCATTTTACATTATAATTTATTTTGTGAAATTACTGGTGACCATCAATTCACTACAATATTGAACCCGGATGGCTGAAACTCGACTTCAAACCCCAGCTCTCAGCAGTGCCAGATCAGCCCTCTGACTTCTGAACTACCCAGCCATCCATCTCTTACGTAAAACATTGTTATATAGTATTACATAAACAAAAACTACGTTTTTTTGTATATTCAGAATACATTTTGAAATGTTTGTCACGTAAACAATGTTTATTATCAATAGCATGTCTTACGCATTTTCTATATTAATACAAATGTAATCGTTTTAAAAATATATCACGGGGCATGTTATATTCTCTGCTGTTAGAGTAATCACATGCTCATGATCAATTGGATTGCTTTGTTTGGGGTTCTGGATCGTGCTCAACACACAGCTAGCTGATCAAATGGAAAGGATCGTTAAACAAAACTTCAAATGTCAACAGCAAGACAATGAGGACTCCTGCTACGAACAATACTAATAGTGAGGCCAATTATTGTAATGTGTATGTTCATAAGCTGTGCTTTATTTGTATGAAAACTACTTTAATGTGTATTTCTTCAAACTTAAATAATCTTGATTGAAAGCTTTCGTGACTGCAGGAATCCATACTCTTTGGTTATTTCGGTAAAGTCACGTAGGTAGAAATAAAAGAATATAAAATAAAATTAATCACGACGTTTCGATCGCAACACAAGCGATCCTCATCAGGTGGGAACACCACAGCAAGACAAAATGCTGAAGTGGGCGAGAGAGCTCTCGTGGCAAGAGGTTATATAGGTAAGAAAGGGGGGAGGCAAGGGGGTAGAGAGAGGGGGGGCAGGAGGTGGGCTGCGTGAGCGCTAGGGGGAGAAGAAGTGAAGCTGGGGGGGGGGGAGTAGGTGGGGCTAGAAGTGGAAAGCTGGGGACACGCACGGGGGGTGGGGGAGTGACTCGGAAAAATAGACTAGTAACCGGCAGGTATGATGGAAACAACCACAACAGTTAAGGCTTTACCTGGTTGATAACATCCTTCCAATGATTGCTCAATTTGTATCCATCTTCTCGGTTAAAGTTAAGTCTATGTTTATATATCTGGATGGCTTCATGAACAAACCTTTGATAGTAGCCCGATGGTTTGCAGAGTACCTTGGTCTCGGAAAAGAAAATATAATGCGAGCCCACAGCGTTATAACAATGGTCAGCCACGGCAGAGGTATTGGTTCTGCCGTGTTTCAGATCTGCCTTGTGTTCGCGAACACGGTCCGAGACATGTCGTTTTGTTTCCCCAATGTAACTGCTACCGCAGGTACAACTCAGTTTGTAGACTCCAGGATATTGCATGTCAGGAATGACATCCTTCACAGATGGGATTAGATCACAGATTTTGTGTACTGTATTGAATCGGACCTGGATCTTGTGTTTGTTTAAGATTTTGGAAATATTTTTGGTAACACCTGCTCTGTATGGTAAAGTGATGGTTTTGATTGGCTTCTCAGGGGATTGTTTCTTCATGGTTGGAGAAAATGCGGTCCGAGTACCCATTCATCTTGAGGGTCTGGTGTACATGTTCCAGTTCACTGGCTAGGTGGTGTTGGTCGGAAATGCAGTGGGCCCTATGGTGTAATGTTTTGATGAGGGAATTCTTCTGGGCCGGATGGTGTCTCAACGAGGGGTCAGATCTCTTCTCAAACAAAACATCCAGTAATGGTAGCTTACCATCCTTCTCCACTTCCATAGTGAATTCGATGGATGGGAGTATGGAATTGATGTGAAGAGAAATTGATTCAATGCTGGCAGACCATGTGGCCATTTGATGAACGTGTCATCTACGTATCTCTTCCACAAGGAAGGACGTAGGGTGGATGTCTGGATGGCATCTGTTTAAAATTTCTCCATAAAAACATTCGCTATCACTGGTGCAGTTTACATTGTGACATACACAACGCCCGTTAAAATAATTGCAACATAATTTATTGCAAAACTAAATTTACTACATAGTACAGAATCTACTTAGCCTGTACGGTTGTAAAAATACTAACAAGTGGTATATGCAGGTATGAACTATATTTATAGCGCATCATATAGAGAATGTAACAAGCTAATTATGTTAGATTATTTAAAAGATAACGGATATTTAAACATTTTAAATGTAGAAACTGGTTAAGATGTCATGTATGTGACCCTAGTGGTGCCGAGTAATCACACTGGACAGCTATTTTTTCAGACGCCGTATTACTCAACACTGCACGAATTAATGCATCATTGTTTTATTTACCCAGACCACCTTGGGTGCCCACTGATCGATGCGGTGGAGCCTGTTGAATCCCACTCCAAAGTAATGGGCAGCTGTTATAGGGCAATTTAAGTCCAGCCCAACAGTTTATTCTGGCAACCAAACAGCCAAGGTGAGAAGCTATGACTATTTACAAATACTACATGATTGATACATGTGTGACTGCTAAATAAATCAGACATTCAATGTATTGCGCTTTTGCTACATCTCTCTAACTCTATGCAGCTGAAATCATTTATTGAATGTCATCTCATTTACAAGGGACTCATCTTTACGCTGTATTTATTTCACGTTGAGTCCAGGTTTATTGATAGACACAATGGTGACTAAATGGTCTTGAAAGACAAAACTGTTTTATTGCTAGTAATTGTGACAGGTTTTATCACACAATGTGGAGGAATATGATGTTAAAAATTGAAAATGTTCTTTTAAGACATACCACACCACACAATTCTAAAATGAACCAATAATAATGTAATGTTATGAGACCTCCTTTGCCAGAAACAAGATATAGGAATAGGTTTTACCCTTTTAACTGGCACAAAAACTGACACCTTTATTCAAGGCATCATGTTTGCAATGACCACAACACAAGCAGTCAAAATGCAAACAAAAAAGACAACTCTGATAATAATATGCACTGTCCTTGAATTTGATTGGTCCACACCCGAAACAGCTTTTCTTAGAGCCTAGTCTCCATTGGTGTTGGACCAGAAGACGCCAAAAGGCGCCTTCACACCGAGGGCACTGGAGTCTTGGGAATCTAGCCCCACTTATGTCCTTCATTGAGCACAGTCCGCTACGTGTTTTCTTGTTTTCTTATAATGAATGACTAAACCTGCCAATAACGAGAATGTGGCGAGCGCTTGAATTTTGTTTAACCCGATTAACCACACCTGGCTGAGAAAAGTATCGACTGCACACCCATTATATATACATGGGAAACAGTGCCTTCCTGTCCCGTTGTCTGTTAAAAGCTCTAACAGATAGGTGAAAGCCCTCACCATAGAGGTTATCAATTCTAGATTTAAAGCTTTCGTGACTGCTAGGATCCATACTCTTTGGTTCTATTGGGTAAAGTCACGTAGGTGAAAATAAAATAAAAAATCACGACGTTTCGGCCACAACACAAGTGGCCTTCATCAGGTGAAGGGACGAGACTGTCTGGAGGACAGCGCTGGAGTGGAAGAAGCCAGACAGGCTCGTCCCTTCACCTGATGAAGGCCGCTTGTGTTGTGGCCGAAACGTCGTGATTTTTTATTTTATTTTCACCTACGTGACTTTACCCAATAGAACCAAAGAGTATGGATCCTAGCAGTCACGAAAGCTTTAAATCTAGAAGTGCCTTCCTATCTATCAGCGCAATAAAGCACAAAGACGATATCACCCTTTATGCAATGTATTTGTGTAATCATGCTTCAGATATTTGTTACAAAAGCACACTAAAACGGTAACCACTTAATTAATATATTGTACATTTTTATGTAAGATATGCCATTAAAAAAAACAATTATTTTAAAACGTTATTTTAAAAATAAGGAAATATTTCAGGATCATGACCCTTACAAGTAATTGTATAACATGAAAACAAATGAGATGAGAATTCAATGAAACAATAAGGACATATGCATGTGGAAACTAAACAAAACGTCAAAAGTATGATTAACTGCTTAATGCAGTAAATAATTTTGCTAGAGGGCCTTGTTAAAAATTAATCAGGTTTTAAGCATAAGTAAAAAAAAACTTTCAGCAGCAGCAACAGCAGAAAAAAGGGTCATACACACATTGAGTTAATACCCTCCACTTGGCCTATAAAACAATTTACATTTAGCAACGAACTTATTCCCTGCAGTATTAATTTAACGACCTGACCAAACTTGTCATATCCAAACATTTTCCAGTAAGTTTAACTATGACAAGTGATAATTAACAGCAACACTGTACACATCAAAAACATTCATCTCGTATATACCTATACCCTTGTTTGACAACTGTATTTCTAAATTAAAAGTGCAATGGCCTGGAGGTAGCAACACCATTATGCTCTGTGATAAGTGCATGGCCACAGCTGATATTATCAATGGTAGTCACCATCCCATTTCAATTTATTATTTTTTTATAGGTTCCACAAACCCATTATTGATCTCAACCTTGAGGCCAGAATCGTTCCAATGGGTGTACATTTGAGCATGGGCAAATGTCTTACACACATGCAGTCATGACACTCCTGGCAAAATAACAATTTAGCAGACATGAGGACTGATCACAAATAGGTGGGTAAATTGTCACAAAGGAATGGTGTCCCTGATAAGTAAAATTACTTTATTTTCTGCTGCTGGGCAGTGGTGTATGTAAAAGTTGACACCACACTGCCTAGCTACTTTTTACAATGCAAGTTTTATTCCATACAATATAAAAATTTTAATCCGAAAATTGTGAAGAAATTACACGTATTACATGAAGCTCGTAGACACAGCATTGTAACAGTGCATGACTAATATATTGTGGGGAGATGTTTAGACACCTTTGGATGGTAAGTACCGTAAACAAATCATGAAAGTACTGTAATGTTGTATTGTATTGCATAACAGTAACACAGAACAACACTTTAGATCTATTTCCAAAACACACGTAAAATGTCCTTTCGAAACATACCAAAGCACGTCATTCAAAAGTAAATAATAAAATATCAAAATCATTTTCAGAAATACAATACAAAGCAGTAAAACAGTGCTTTGTATTGTAATACAGAGCAAAACTTTAAACCTATTTCCCAAGATGGTTACAAGAGAGAATATAAAGCATTATTAGTATAGCTTTTCAACTTTAAAAAAAAATCTTTGACAATATTGTATTTAATATACGCCAGACATTTTCCCTGTCATGTAAGGAAAACAAACGCTCGTGTATAACCAGCAGGGATACTGCCGAATAAAAGTATCGCTTAAAATTACTTCCGAATCTCTTCCTCATTCCACTACATTTAAAAAAAAAATATATCAAAAGCTCTCGCATTGATCTCTCATTGCAATGTTTTCATTACAACTCTGGTCGCCTGGAGGACTTGCTTCTGAAAGCCACTGGTGCAAGACGAGTGTGTCAAGTAAGGCTGAATTTGAGAATGTTGCCTTATAATTTGAGGTAGAAACATGTTGGTAAAAAAAAAATACCATGCTGTATTGCATTTACCAAACATTCACAACTGCACTTAAAAAGGTTTCCTCATGCATAGCGATAAAACGAGTACTACATTGGCATACGACTTAGCACAGTAGAGTACTGTCATTATGTTTGCATAAAATACCGATTTATGCTACCGTTAACGTGTATGGCTATAGGCTATGTTAGTTCCCATGGTGTTCCCTGATGTCACCTTTCATTAACTGTAAAACAAACTCCTAAGGATCTCCATTTATCGCGAAATTTTGTAAAAATGCATCTGTGTACATGCCATGAAGTAAACAGGCATTTCTTAAATCATGTCAGTGCATTTAATATACAGCCTCCAATGCATTGCTATACTTTCTGAAAAGGTGACAATCATGTCCATTTACCCTGAATCAGGAACCTACTTTCCGAGGATGTGGCTATCAAAGCAAGGAATCACGTTCTTATTGCAAACTATTTATAAATAAGCACATGTTGTCGGCATTGAAAGGGTTTTATATATTTAAAAAAACAATGGGCGTTTTTTAATAGGCCAAAACTGGCAGGGTATACTGAGGGATTTCTCATTGTACCACTCTTGATCCCACATGGGCAGTTAATTGTGCTCGCCACCTCTGAGCTATGAAAAACCAAGGGCATATCATGAGAGGAATAAGAATATATCATTATGCCAGAAGAGAGAACTAGATGTCCATGCATTATCTTGAGTGGTGTATTATTATTATTCGATTGACAATAACTGGGACTTTTAATGTTCCAGGAACACTTCGAGATTTCACAGGACAACTCCGTGAAAAAGAGGACACTCCTGGGAAAACAAGGACAGGTGGCAACCCTCATCGTAGTACCTCATCCGTGTTTAGCGGAAAAACTTGAGTTTGTCTTGAAGCCACTCTTCTGTGAGCTCCTCCACACTGCGGATCTCAAACACCTGATGGGGAGAGTGAGTGAGGCAATACATCTGCAACTAATAGGCATGTAACGAGACAGAACATGGAAGACAGTACAAGTGAGGCAGTTGGTTTAAACGAGACAGACATTTCTACCAAGTATATGCAAGCCAAATCATGGTGGGGGGGCATCATTGAATACAAGCCTACGATTTAAACAACAAAATGAAACAAATACATATATTGTAAATAAAACTCCCACATGGCTTTGGGAGGCCCGTATACAGCAGTGGATTGGCAAAAGGGGCTACACATACACATATACACCTCAAAATAATACCTCGCAAATGTTGCTTGGGAATGTTTTACAAAATTCCACAGTCCTACAATGGATGTCGAGTACTCCTTGATTACGATTCCTCAGTTTTCTGTATGTAACATGCATGCACCTGTGCGGATCTCAATACAGGATTTTTTTAAATAAGTATAAACATGAATGTTCTATAATACTGTCGTGATTCAGAATTTAATCAAGTGGTATCACAAAATCTCATCATGGTTGCTTTATAGTCTAATTATGCCCATTTCCACATCTGAATATGACATTTATATTTATTTATTGAGCATTGCATCTTTATACCCTGTTCCACACACATAATACACCGAATGTTCTTGCAACATTAATGCAGGAATGTTTATTCCGCCTGCAAATGGTTTTTGAGCATGTTACGAGAAAATGCCACGCTAACATCCCTGGTGTTAGCTAACATCCCTGGTGTGAATGTCTTGAATGCGTCTCTTACATGCTGTTCGAGATCACTGCAGCTTTTGGCAGTATGATTATAGTTATTTCATATTGGATATGGTAATATAATCTGTGCATTGGAAATATTTTTTCTGACGGAAACATTTGCAAAAATTGTAAACGCGTTCGTATTTATCATTACATTATTAGGTATCACGTAAACAAGCATTTGGTTTTAACAGGAATGCACTTGACTGCAAAATAATTTCATACTTCAAACCGTTCAACGTGTATACACAAAACAGTGCTAACATCATATGTTTCTAAGAAACCGTACGTATCAGTTTGAAACATTGGCTTGTATGGCCACAGAATAATCTAAGACATTACAGATGAACGCGAGCTGTTGAACAAATGCATAGACGGTGACAATAAGCGCTGTTAAAAAAAACTGATTGCTGATGCAAACGCTGAAGCATGCGAACGCAACCAGATTTCCATTTGGCTTGTACTCGCACACATTCATGTTGGCAAGCCATTGCTCAGCATTGCACGGGATGCATTACGCAAGCCGCCGAACGTGAGCAAAAATGCCAGTCAGCTTTGGGTTCAAAGTCTTTCCTGAATGATCCTGAGCACAAGAGCAGTTGGCGGTGTAACATCACTGTATAGCGTGCAGGATAACGCGTGCAGATAGGACTGCATTTCTTTCCCGAGCAGTCATCACAACTGAATGCTGGATGAAAGAGAGACGGAGCCTCTTGTTAGGCAAGACTGCAGCCCGAAAAACGAGTGGACTGCTTGTAGTCGACCGATGTGATTTTAACCATCAATATGCTGCAGCGTGGCATGACACAACATGCCACTGTTCATTTTTATAATAAGATATTTATTTTTTTACAAAACCAAACCTGTCTCACGGGTTTTATATTGGCCCATTAGCACTAACGATGACAATCCCGTTGCTTCCTGTGGCCACGCTACGAGCTAATAAGAATGGTAGAAGAAAGTGACATCACGAGATTGGAGAGGCAATTCTATGGCGAGGTTGGCCCGCATTCGCACGCACACACACGGGAGTGTGCACTCACGGGCGAGGTCGGCTACAATTACCAAATTGACTCAGTAGGGGGCACAAGTCCCTCTTGTTGAATACAAAAAGCCATGAACAAAAGGGATAGCGATGACGGTGCCTTTAACAGTTGTGACCCACACCCCCATCCCTCGCCCTTAGGAAATCTAAAATCAAATGGGAGATACTCCACATTGCATTGTCAATGCACTGTGTATCCCTGTTGCATACCTTGGTGAGCTCGGCTGTTTGCACCAGCGTGTTCTTGCTGCCAGCGTACATCATCTGCTGCTCGGGCTTGCAGCCTAAAACAACGACACACACAGGGAGTTTTCGTCCGACAACTAAGGGCATCCCAGACATCCACACTCGTGTTTTATATCAACCACAACAACCTGATGTTTTGCCTTCATTCATGGAAAATGAAAGACAAACCGCAGTGTGGTTGTGGCCATGCCACCCCAACTATGGACCAAGGCCGTAGCCATGGAGTCAACATTGGGGGGGGGGACTAAATCTTCCAGGGTGTCTGGGGGTCCCAACCCAGAAAAAAATCTACATTTGAAGACGAATTTTCTGCCTGAAATATAAAAAAAATCACTAACACATGGGATGGACTTTTTATTTTATTTTTTACAATAATGTCTAATAGTGTATTGTATTACATTGCTCTGTTTTTACTTTTTTACCATTTCTTGCTGGTGAGAGAGGCCTGCTGTTCAACACACCCGTGCTGGTGAGAGGGGCCTGCTTTTCAGCACACCCGTGCTGGTGAGGGGGGCCTGCTGTTCAGCACACCCGTGCTGGTGAGAGAGGCCTGCTGTTCAGCTCACACGTGTTGAGGGGCCTGCTGTTCAGCACACCCGTGCTGGTGAGAGGGGCCTGCTGTTCATCACATCCGTGTTGGTGAGAGGGGCCTGCTGTTGAGGGGCCTACTGTTCAGCACACCCGTGTTGGTCAGAGAGGCCTGCTGTTCAGCACACCCGTGTTGAGGGGCCTACTGTTCAGCACACCCGTGCTGGTGAGAGGGGCCTGCTGTTCAACAGACCCGTGCTGGTGAGAGGGGCCTACTGTTCAGCACACCCGTGCTGGTGAGAGGGGCCTGCTGTTCAACACACCCGTGCTGGTGAGAGGGGCCTGCTGTTCAACACACCCGTGCTGGTGAGAGGGGCCTGCTGTTCAACACACCCGTGCTGGTGAGAGGGGCCTGCTGTTCATCACACCCGTGCTGGTGAGAGAGGCCTACTATTCATCACACCCGTGCTGGTGTGAGGGGCGTGCTGTTCATCACCCCCGTGTTGGTGAGAGGGGCCTGCTGTTCACTTCCATGCTGCTGAGAGAGGCCTACTGTTCATCACACCCGTGTTGGTGAGAGGGGCCTGCTGTTCACCACTCCCATGCTGGTGAGAGGGGCCTACTGTTCAACACACCAGTGCTGGTGAGAGAGTCCTGCTGTTCAGCACACCCGTGCTGGTGCGAAGATGGCGCTGATGATGGTAGCCTCAGCTGGTCGGTGCGCCCTGTTTTGTCTTGTTTTGTCTGTCAATTCAGTGTTTTGCCAAGATTTTCGGAGTTCTCTAACAAGAGACGAACTTTTAAATATCAGGGAAACAACTCCTGTGGATTTAATTCCTACTTTTCTGCTTCCAGCGGCAGAATTAGTAGGCATTCTAGTCAATGCCGCGCTAGGCTTTGCTCAAGCAACGAAACGCCGCCCAAGGGGTAAACGGTCGGGGGCTCTAGTACGGCTACGCAGACGCGGGATCCGAACAGTGCTTCCGAGCTTCTTCCTCTCCAACGTACGTTCACTGTACAACAAAATGGATGAACTTCAGCTACTGATGGTAAAAAACAAAGACTTTCTTTCAGCTTCTGCATTGTGCTTCACGGAAACATGGCTGTGTGATTTGATTCCGGACACTTCGCTACAACTAGCAGGATTCCATCTTGTAAGATCGGATCGTGACATAGCACTCTCCGGCAAGACGAAAGGCGGTGGTATTTGTTTTTACATTAACAGTGGCTGGTGTGTAGATGTCACAGTGATTCTACAACATTGTTCTCCACTCCTTGAATCAATTTTTATAACCTGTAAACCGTTTTACTCGCCTCGCGAGTTCGCGTCGCTCATTTTGGTCGGAGTTTATTTGCCGCCTTGTCCTCAGGTTAAAGAGGCCCAACGCATGCTCGCCGATCAGATTCTGAGTGTGGAGCGAGCAAATCCAGATTCGTTGGTTATCGTACTTGGCGACTTTAACAAAGGTAATCTCAGCCACGAACTCCCCAAATACATACAATTCATTAAATGCCCAACCAGAGAAGGGAACACTCTGGATCACTGTTACACTACAGTCAGTAGAGCCTACCACGCCGTCCCCCGAGCAGCACTAGGACACTCTGACCATGCCATGGTCCACCTGATTCCTGCATACAGGCAGAAACTAAAACTCTGTAAACCTGCTGTGAGGACATCTAAACAGTGGACCAGTGAGGCTGTGGAAGATTTGCGGGCGTGCTTAGACTGTACTGACTGGGATATGTTCACGACTGCTACCAATAGTCTGGATGAACTCACAGAGGCTGTGACGTCCTACATCAGCTTCTGTGAGGACTGCTGTATCCCAACACGTACCAGGGTGAACTTTAACAACAATAAGCCCTGGTTCTCAGCAAAGCTCAGAAGGTTGAGGTTGGAGAAGGAGGAAGCGTTTAGGAGTGGAGATAGAGACAGATTCAAGGAGTCGAAGAACAGGTTTAGCAAAGCGGTGAGAGAGGCTAAACGACTGTACTCAGAGAGACTAAAACACCAGTTCTCTACAAACGACGCTGCTTCTGTCTGGAGAGGGCTCAGGCAGATCACCAACTACAAACCCAGAGCCCCCCACACCACTAACGACTCCCGCCTAGCCAACGACCTGAACGAGTTCTACTGTAGATTTGAAAGACAATTGGACTGTCCTGAACCACCCCTTCCAACCCAAGAGGCCCCATCCCCCACCAATACTACAGAGACGACTATCTCCTTTCAGGAGGGAGAAGTTAATAGACTTTTCAAGAGGCAGAATCCACGCAAAGCAGCCGGGCCGGACTCTGTCTCTCCAGCCACCCTCAGGCACTGCGCTGACCAGCTGTCTCCGGTGTTCACCAACATCTTTAACACCTCCCTGGAGACATGCCATGTACCAGCCTGTCTCAAGTCCTCCACCATCATCCCTGTGCCCAAAAAGCTAAGGCCAACAGGACTAAATGATTACAGACCGGTCGCCCTTACATCTGTGGTAATGAAGTCTTTTGAGCGCCTGGTCCTGGCACACCTCAAAGCCATCACAGACCCTCTCCTGGACCCCCTTCAGTTTGCCTACAGAGCCAACAGGTCTGTGGACGATGCAGTTAACATGGCCCTCCACTTCACCCTACAGCATCTGGACGCCCCAGCATCCTACGCCAGGATCCTGTTTGTGGACTTCAGCTCTGCCTTCAACACCATCATCCCTGCCCTGCTTCAGGACAAGCTCTTCCAGCTGAACGTGCCATACACCACCTGTAAATGGATCACAGACTTCCTGTCTGACAGGAAGCAGTGCGTTAAGCTGGGAACACAAGTCTCTGGCTCCAGGTCCATCAGCACCGGAACTCCTCAGGGCTGCGTCCTTTCCCCTCTGCTCTTCTCCCTGTATACCAACAGCTGCACCTCCAATCATCTGTCCGTCAAACTATTGAAGTTTGCGGATGACACCACCCTCATTGGGCTGATCTCTGGTGGGGATGAGTCTGACTATAGGTGGGAAGCTGACAATCTGGTGACCTGGTGTAGCCAGAACAACTTAGAGCTAAATGCTCTAAAGACAGTTGAGATGGTTGTGGACTTCAGGAAGAATACAGCACCACTCACCCCCATCACCCTGTTAGACTCCCCAGTAAAAATTGTAGAGTCCTTCCGCTTCCTGGGCACTATTCTCTCCCGGGACCTCAAGTGGGAATTGAACATCAGCTCCCTCACCAAGAAAGCTCAACAGAGGATGTACTTTCTACGGCAGCTGAAGAAATTCAACCTGCCAAAGACAATGATGGTGCAATTCTATACAGCGATCATTGAATCCATCCTCACCTCCTCCATAACCGTCTGGTACGCTGCTGCCACTGCCAAGGACAAGAGCAGACTGCAGCGTATCATCCACACTGCTGAGAAGGTAATTGCCTGCAATCTACCGACCCTCGAGGACCTGCACACGACAAGGTCTATGAGGCGAGCGAGGAAGATTATGGCCGATTTCTCCCACCCTGGACACTCTCTGTTTCAGCTACTCCCCTCCGGCAGAAGGCTTCGGTCCATCAGGACCAAAACCTCACGCCATAAAAACAGTTTCTTCCCATCTGCTGCTGGCCTGTTAAACAAGGCCAAGGGCTAACACTGTTTTTAACATTTGATCTACATAACGACACGTTGCTGATATTAACTATGTTTCCCTATTTGTATTTTTAAATTATATCTTAAAGCTATTTTATATTCGATATTTATTTAATTTTATATACTTCAGCCCCTTAGTGTTAGACTTTTAACCCTTATTATAGTAAGACTTGTTTAAAACTTATTTAAGATTTTAGATTCCTATATGTTGAATGTATGCACCATCCTGCCAAAGTAAATTCCGTGTCGGTGTGAACTTACATGGCGAATAAAACCCTTTCTGATTCTGATTCTGATCTGATTCTGATTGTATGTAATTGCAGAGATTAGGGATTAATAAAGTATAACCATAACCACAATCATATAAACAGAAATCTATGCATTGATTTATATGAAGACAAGTCCAGATATTGTGGCCAAGGTTTATCGAATTTATATTTTTATTTACATAGCATAGCAATTTTTTAAAATATCCCCCCACAATATATATTATAATTACGGCCTTGCTATGGACCATAGACTAAACCACTGTCACCTGCGCTCCTTCAATGGAAGAGCAGCAAAAATTACACGAACTCTCTTTTGAAGACCTCTCCTGGCTATCACACCTCGACATTGGCATTGAACTCCTGAACATATCGCCCTACGCAATAGACAGCCTGATGTTAACTTCTTTATAATCACCATTTCATTGGGACATGATAATTAACTGCAGCACAGTACGTTAATAAACGTGATACATCTAGAAAGTACAATTTGATCAAATGACTAGAAACGAACACCACTATGATCACAGCGACGTGCACACTTCTTGTCTTGTATGGCATGTAAGCAACAGTTTGTATAGATGTCATAGTTGAATGGTAAGGTCCTTCAATCAATCCAAGGTGACAGTAAATGCTGTATGGATTGCAGTGATACCGTGCAGACTAATGAATGTACACAGGTGCAGTCACTTACCCAGGGGACTGCAGAAAATGAAACACAGTGGGTAGGATATCCGTCCATCCGTGTGGTGGTATTTGTAGCTGTACAGGATGAATGTGAAATGCAGTCAAGGATCTACAACAGCATCCGATATATCACACTTCTTCAATGTCGATCAAATAGAATGGCGGGGGGGGGACATCTCTTTACAGCACTTACGCCAGTGTCAACTATGTCAACTGAAGGTAATACATAAATTAACAATCACATTGAAAAAAGTATAATATAATCTCAAATAAAAGATATTGGAGATGACAACTTATATTCTTGAAAGCATAAGGAAAAGAGACGAGAGTACATTGCTTAAGTTGGAAAATAACGATGACAATAATTTATTGATATGAGATCATATTGGTTTGCGAAATAAGATTATCTGGTTCAAGCGTATGTACTCAAAGCTATTAACCCTTTCCTGATCAAGAGATATAAATACGATGTGTAACAGGGGCAAATAATATACCTTACTCTCCATCAACAAGAGATATGCTGCGAATAATAATAACCACCACACTGCTGACTTAGCCATGAAGTTATACTGGCTGACAAGTTAGACCAATGGAAGAACTATTAGACACACATTGATACCTTTTTGTATATAACAATGGCATTATTAATTATGTAACTGTCTTTAAATGTTAACATTAATCTCTGAAGTCTGAACAGTATGGTCCATGCAACAGGTGAAGTTATCCGCGGTTTTGAAAGGAGTGACAGAGTGATCTTATTTTCGCAATACGGGAACCAGTCTCTAAGCTTGCTTGTTGTTTTCACTGTGGAGCTCCACATCATTTCCAGCTGGCTGCTGCGCATGCACTGACTCATCAGCTATCACAGCGAAGTCAAGTGGTCAGAATTACAGTTGGCCTCATGTGAGATTCCACAGACTGCTGTTTTCAAGGATATCTGGGCTGCCTTTCTGGCAACTCTTCCTTGAGGTCCTCCGGAGATATGTCCTGATAGTTTGCAGTTGCACAGACAAAAAGTTAATAAACCATGAATGTCTTGCAGAATACACACGTCTATTTAATCCAGTATTCTACAAATAGCCTCTCAGCTGAAAATTCTGGGGATTAATAATTTTCACCCAAGTATATTTACGAGAATTAAGTATACAAAGTATTTACCTAAACATAATGTGTTTTTTTTTGTTTAAACATCTACCAAACCTGACATATAGGTAGGTTTACCTTCTGACTTTAAACTTTCGTGACTGCAGGAATTAATATTCTTTGGATCTTTCGGTAAAGTCACGTAGATAGAAAAATAATATAAAAAAAGTGAATAAAATATATTTTTTTAAAACATTAGCTGCCCCGCCCATGCTGCTGACACTTGGGCTACGCCCATTTTAAACCTTTATAAACAGTTTGCCTTTAGAGGCGAACCCCTTTTTCCTGACGACCGCTTGTGTTGCGATCCAAGCGTCGTGGTTTTAATTATTTTTATTCACTTTATTTTTTGTTATAATTTTTCTGTCTACGTGACTTTACCGAAAGAACCAAACAATAGATTAACCTTTTTGAATTGTCACTATTGCTTTACTCTAATTGCTCGAAATGTAACAAGTCAGAAGTATACAATACTAAAATAGTATGACTCAAAAGCAAACACAACACAAGATTTTATCTTTTGCGCATTTGGCTATTGAGTGGCAGCAGGTTACAGAGTTTTATTGTAATTGTCCCACATTTCTACAAACCAAAAGCAAAGAGTTAGATTTTTCAAGTGAATAGGTTAATTTAAGAAACAGTTTTTATGCAACCCTTGAAATTCATATGTACAGCCTACAATCAAGTGAACTGTGGGTTAATCTAATTAATTATGATAATATGTGTACTGTACAGCCCTGTATAAATCCACTTCTGAATTAAGGCCTTCCCACACCATGTCGGCAAAGAGAGGAGGCCTCGGATTCAGATATCACTCGCCAACGATGTGAGCTGTGGCTGAGAACCGACTGATGTAACCTGGGCTATAAAACCTGACCTGGAAATTGTACATGCAATATTCCCTGCAAACGCATATATATAAAATACTAATGTAAACAACATTATGTTTATACAGCAGTTATAGGCCTTACATTCACTGATAAACACTAAAGCCAGCAATGATTTGCTGTGACATGTAATTATAATGTGGCATTACTAGTAATTTTCAATATTCTTGTGGTAACATGTTCAATTATGACATTTAGCTTTTTCTCCAGATAGTTAAAAAAGACGAAAATTTTAATTGTTTGTTTTTATAATTAATAAAAAACTATGGGACATATGATAGACACTAAAGACTTGCAAATAATACGTTCTTCAAGCGAGTTTCCAGGTGAAACATTTTAATCAAGAAAAATAACATTTTAATTACTAAATATGAACATTGTACCTCGTACTCTTCCTCCATCACCACTACTTGGCGGTCCTTGTCAATCTTCACTGTAAAACAGGCTCTTTGTTTATGCACTCCAAACCAGTAGACACATGCAATAAAACATTGAATAAAACGTGGAAAACAAACCATTCCTTCTCAGTAGGAAACAATCGACAATGTTCGCCAATGTCCTTTTTACTCATGTAAAAAACATAACCTTTAAATATGTAAGAGCATTAATTCACCATTACAGTGCTGTATTGTCTGTGCCTTTTAAATTAGATATTGTAAGCATGCAAATAAATAATTCACTGAAGGAGACACGCAATACAGGTTACATATTTCTTAACATATGTTGCTTAACAAAAGATGCGGCTGGTCATGGCTGTTTTGGTCATATAACGCAGCGTATGAATTCCCCAAAATACCCGTGGCAATCATCTTCCTCGCCGATTACTCTCTGTCCATACACAACAGCTGTGCATGGTCTAATCACATGATTGTACACATGTGAATAGATATCCAATGATTTACATGATCGTCCCAAGGGCAATAAAATGTATTTATGGTCGAGCATTGTTTTATGAGTGGAACATATCACAACAATTGGGACATTACTCAGTGCACCGTAAAACTTGTGGCGAATTTTGCATTTGCACACGCTCAAGGGAAGCACATGCTCGACAAGATAAGGTGTATTGTACATTTGCATAAGACTTACTTTAACCCACAATAATAAGGTTATTTACACACAGTAATGACTACCACATAAAATAAGGTAAGGTAAGCATTACTCCACACTGGCAAACATTAACATAAGATACGTGTGTGTGTGTGTGTACACGGAATGCAAAACGTATTATCTTTAGTGTATGAACTGCAATAACTCAAGGCATTCTGGCTGTAAAATATTAATCCAGTCACCAACATAGGAGCATCCTGCACATGTTATTCCTTCTGCTTAAGTAGCAATAGTTAACATCAACGACCACGGGTCAACGGTCGAACGTTATCAGTGCTCCAGAGTATTGAGAGTTAAGAGTATTTTGTGTTTGAGATTCGTAAAAAAAATAGCTTCAACATGATTGGGCCAAATGCACTTCCTTTGCAGACATGTTTTGCACCGTTTATAGTGCGATTACAGACCAATGGATGTTATCTAAAGAAACATGTTTTGGTCTCTGGGATATGTTATGCTGGCATAGATTTAACGTTCAAAATTACGTGAAACCTCACCCCTATCAGTTGCGTGACTTGAATACAATCAGTGTAAATGGCACAATCTTACTTTAACCGATGATGGCGCTCATAAACTAATGTGGGGCATTAGTACACTGTAAGATTGAAACCCTATACTGTATATATCAAAGGTGTGCCACAATCATTGCATGGAATACCTGATAACTGTGGTTAATATTTAAATAAATATTCCTGTGCAGCGTAATAGCCAAAGCTACTTTTTTACATTTAAATATTCCCACTAACTCTTTTGCGTGTTTATATATAACAAAAAACTTACGAAACTTTAAATGACAATTTGATTTTTCTTGTTGGCATTTGCCAGTTGCAATGTATGATTTAAGAAAAATAAACTGCTACATTAATAAAAAAAACAATATCTACAGTAGAAAATCTTTAGGTGTGGTTTCTTCCAGAAATGTATTAAAATAAAATTTAAAAAAAGTTAACACGTAGGCTGATTTTAGAAATATTATTCTCTACTTAATTACACTAACAAATGTTTTAAAAAGAACATCTCGACACCTGGATGAAGGCAGAAAAATCAGATTCATAACACCAAAGATCGTTTGGTATGCTTCTAAAAGAAAAATTAAAGTAAAACCAAAGCTGCAGGAATCTTGTCTTTGGTAATATTTAAAGGCAAATGTTTTAACTGTGTAAAATGCAGAACTAGTGTGTATTATACAGTGCACGTATCTTGTCAGTGTACTGATGAGAGTGTTGGCTCACTTATAATGGCCGCATTGGTGGTCTCTTTGCGGAAGCGAAATTTCTTCAACTTGTCTTTCAAGCCTTGGTCAACCTCGCACACCACCAGGGACTCGGTCTTCAAAGCAATGTCACACACAGGCATGCATACATGTCACGTTTCATTGCCGTTTCATTGTCACCTCTTTTCGTAAACGTTTTAATGCTTATATAGCGAGCTGCACTGTGATGCCCAGTGTCAATGTTGGAAACATGGCACATTGTTAAGACCTAGAGTTAAACAATACATTTCTAATCTTTTACAGACATCAATCCCACGAATAAGAGTAGACAAAAGATTTATAGCATCTCTTACAATATTAATGATACAGTAACGTGTATATGCCCAGCCCTTTATCAATCCACTGCTGGATGAGGGACCTCCATACATGCCGTGTGGGTCATTGGGGTTAAATGACCATGGTTCACCTAGGTGGTTAGTGCATGTTAATCACTTGCCTTATAAACTAATTTTATATCCATAATTTAACTAGTTAGTGACTTAAAAAGCACAGCAAACTTTGGGCAGTATATTTCTTGTTGCTTATGGATCGAACGAAAAGTTGGCGAACAACACTGGAGGACAGATGAACACTTTTGACAACTCACTTAATTTAGTGGCGATAAAAAAAAACCGCTTGTGTTACCAAATATAAGAGAGATCCAGATGTTGTATTCTGCCGAGGGGTTACTGCATGCGTTCAGCAATTTTTAAACGCTATTTATTTATTTATTTTCGAATTCAGGCTATGAAACGAACAGCGTGTTTATATTCTGCTGGAGCCAAGAACACTGTACTTTTTTTTTTGCAAGGAACAAAAGGTCAATCTGAGACGGGCAAACACTTCTCTATTGATCGACTTGACACTAATGCTGAGCGGAAAGGGGGATGCCAATATACCACAATGAAGCACTGTATTAAAGCTTCTAAAGATACATGTGCAACCCTTTGTTAATCCACTACAGGATGAGGACCTGCACATGCCGTGGGGGTCATGGGGGTTATGTGGTCATACTTTACTATACTGTCCAGTGATTGTTCGTAAAGGTGGGGACCATAGACACGGAAACAAAGGAGTAGAGTCCCACAAGTTGATTTGCTGCACTAAAAAGATCCAGAAGGCCTACGACAACCTGTTTGAGCAATCGTGGTCACCCATCCAAGCACTATCCATGCTTAACCCTGCTCAGTTTGCAATAATTGAAAATGTGAAAAATGAAAATACTAAACCTTTTTAAGGATGCCTCAACAATATAAAACCCGATGTATATAGAACATTTGGAGCTGGCAGATTGTTAAATAACAGTGTTAAGAGAGATGATGGTGACTTGGGGAGGCATATCGACCATGGCTGATCATGATATAGAGCATTTGCATAACAAAACCGTAGTAAAACATATTTTGTATTACACTGTAAAAAGTTAGATGTTTCACAACAGTCTTTAACGAGGCTAAAAATCAAGCGATTGAACCTTGACTTTACAGTACTTACAATGTGCCCTTTGAAAAACCTCTCAAGCGGTGGTTCCATTAATAAAGAAATGTGCAAAGCCTTATGGAAAACTAAACGCTCATTAAAAATTTGCAACACATTTTCTCGTGGGTTGCACCATGCAGTGGTGAATGAACAGACCATCGTATGCACATTTGGCATATCTCACGCCAGTCTACCCTTTGAGCTGATCCAGTACTGACATTCTGATAACTGGCAGATTGGACCCACTTGATTTGACATGTTGAAGTTTTCAATCTATTGAACTCCTCTATGAGAATAGATATGTGGCCATTCAGACCCTCTTACCCTAAAACGCCAGCAAATATACCATTCATTTATAATTATCCATCAGTTGGTAGTACAACAAATGGGTTCGTGAACAATCTGTGTGGATATCCGTTATCCCCTCTTATGTGTGGGTTATTTTCAAGTACTGTATTGCAGCGTCCTCCAAAAACATAAACAATAATTTGGCAATTGGCTAAACATCCCAGTAGAGGAACCTCATGAAAAAGCCTGCAGGCTCAATATTTCCTGGATAAAGGGCCAAAGTGTTACATCCATCGTAGTGTTAAATCCATCGTAGGTTAATTAGGCAAAATTGATCCTAACCGCACTGAGCTACTTCCATGTCAAGGAGCCAAATAATATGATCTGCCAATAGCACCCCAATAAACACGCGGATAAGAGGAATTCCAGTTATACTGTACTCTCCTATTTCCCAGTACATCTATACATATTAAATGTATCTCTATTGTCCGACTGCTCTCACAGGCAACGTGACACGCCAAATTAGAAACCCCAGTAACGTGCCTCGTGCCATGCCTCCTAAACAGCTGCCAGGGGACTCCTTCCACAACTTTCCCCACACCCCGACAGAGCTTCTTCACGTAACCCGCACAGCTCACAAATAGCGGTGGTGAAACAATGGACCTTAATCTCGGGTTTGCACAATACTCGGGAGGGTGAGATTGAACCCCCCCCCAACCAACAAACCACTTGCCCGCTGTAAGTGAAGTTACACAAAACTGTTCTGTAGCCACGACTTTTGCTTTAAAACACCGGTGCGTCTTATAATCCGGAGAATACGGTATCCAATGAAACGTGTTCACTTAAACAACGTTAAGCCCAGAACAAACTTGCTCCAGGCAGACCATGTTACTTGAAGACTCTTGTAGCGTACGTCTCACCATGTCGTCGTGGAAGACGTGTTCCTTGTTTATGGAAGAAGAGCGATGGTTGAGCTGCTGCTGCTGCTTCTGTTGCTGCACGGCACGAGAAGCCCTCCTGCTGTCTCTGTCTGTCAGCAGCAGCTGCTCCTGCACGAAGCCGGATCCCCCTACTCCCCCGTCTCCGCCTTCAGCTTCCTCCTCCCCTCCACCACCACCACCATCATGACGTTTCCTCCTCCCCTCCACCACCACCACCATCATGACGTTTCCTCCTCCCCTCCACCACCACCACCATCATCATCACGTCTCCTTCTTCCCTCCACCACTGCCATCACGTCTCCTCCTCTTCCTCCCTTCCAACACCATCACGTCTCCTACCTTCCATCACGTCTCCTCCTCCCACCACCACCATCTGTCCTCCCTTCCACCACTATCAGATCTCCTCCTTTACATCGCGTCTCCGATGATGGCAGCCTCGGCCGGTTGGTGCGCCCTGTTTTGGCTGGTTGGTGCGCCCTGTTTTGGCTGGTTGGTGCGCCCTGTTTTGGCCGGTGTTGTTCTTGTTTTGCTTGATCACTTGTGCTGGTGAGAGGGGCCTGCTGTTCATCACACCCGTGCTGGTGAGAGGGGCCTGCTGTTCATCACACCCGTGCTGGTGAGAGGGGCCTGCTGTTCAGCACACCCTTGCTGGTGAGAGGGGCCTGCTGTTCATCACACCCGTGCTGGTGAGAGGGGCCTGCTGTTCAGCACAAACGTGTTGGTGAGAGGGGCCTGCTGTTCAGCACACCTGTGCTGGTGAGAGGAGCCTGCTGTTCAGCACACCCGTGCTGGTGAGAGGGGCCTGCTGTTCAGCACAAACGTGTTGGTGAGAAGATGGCGCCGATGATGGTAGCCTCAGCCGGTCGATGCGCCCAGTTTTGTCTTGTTTTGTCTGTTAATTCAGCGTTTTGCCAAGATTTTCGGAGTTCCCTAACAAGAGACAAACTTTTAAACATCAAGGAAACAACTCCTGTGGATTTATTTCCCACTTTTCTGCTTCCAGCGGCAGAATTAGTGGGCATTCAAGTCAAAGCCGCACTAGGCTTTGCTCAAGCAGCGAAACACCGCCCAAGGGGTAAACGGTCGGGGGCTCTCATACGGCTACGCAGACGCGGGATCCGAACAGTGCTTCCGAGCTTTTTTCTCTCCAACGTACGTTCACTGTGCAACAAAATGTACGAACTTCAGCTACTGATGGTGAAAAACAGAGACTTTCTTTCATCTTCTGTTTTGTGCTTCACAGAGACATGGCTGTGTGATTTGATTCCGGACACTGCGCTACAACTGGCAGGATTCCATCTTGTAAGATCGGATCGTGACATAGCACTCTCCGGCAAGACGAAAGGCGGTGGTATTTGTTTTTACATTAACAGTGGCTGGTGTGTGGATGTCACAGTGATTCTGCAACATTGTTCTCTGCTCCTTGAATCATTTTTTATAAACTGTAAACCTTTCTACTCGCCTCGCGAGTTCGCGTCACTCATTTTGGTCGGAGTTTACTTGCCGCCGGGTCTTCAGGTTAAAGAGGCCCAACGCATGCTCGCCGACCAGATTCTGAGTGTGGAGCGAGCAAATCCAGATTCGCTGGTTATCGTACTTGGCGACTTTAACAAAGGTAATCTCAGCCACGAACTCCCCAAATACATACAATTCATTAAATGCCCTACCAGAGAAGGGAACACTCTGGATCACTACTACACTACAGTCAGTAGAGCCTACCACGCCGTCCCCCGAGCAGCACTAGGACACTCTGACCATGCCATGGTCCACCTGATTCCTGCATACAGGCAGAAACTATAGCTCTGTAAACCTGCTGTGAGGACATCTGAACAGTGGACCAGTGAGGCTGTGGAGAATTTGCAGGCGTGCTTGGACTGTACTGACTGGGATATGTTCACGACTGCTACCAATAGTCTGGATGAACTCGCAGAGGCTGTGACGTCGTACATCAGCTTCTGTGAGGACTGCTGTATTCCAACACATACCAGGGTGAACTTCAACAACAACAACAAGCCCTGGTTCTCAGCAAAGCTCAGAAGGTTGAGGTTGGAGGAGGAAGCATTTAGGAGTGGGGATAGAGACAGATTCAAGGAGTCGAAGAACAGTTTTAGCAAGGTGGTGAGAGAGGCTAAACGACTGTACTCAGAGAGACTAAAACACCAGTTCTCTGCTAACGACTCTGCTTCTGTCTGGAGAGGGCTCAGGCAGATCACCAACGACAAGCCCAGAGCCCCCCACACCACTAACGACTCCCGCCTGCCAACGACCTGAACGAGTTCTACTGCAGATTTGAAAGACAATTGGACTGTCCTGAACTACCCTTTTCCACCCAAGAGGCCCCATCCCCCACCTCTACTACAGAGACAACTCTCTCCTTTCAGGAAGAAGTTAATAGACTTTTCAAGAGGCAGAACCCACGCAGAGTAGCTGGGCTGGACTCTGTCTCTCCAGCCACCCTCATGCACTGCGCTGACTAGCTGTACCCGGTGTTCATCAACATCTTTAACACCTCCCTGGAGACATGCCATGTACCAGCCTGTCTCAAGTCCTCCACCATCATCCCTGTGCCCAAAAAGCTAAGGCCAACAGGACTAAATGATTATAGACCGGTCGCCCTTACCTCTGTGGTAATTACGTCTTTTGAGCGCCTGGTCCTGGCACACCTCAAAGCCATCACAGACCCTCTCCTGGACCCCCTTCAGTTTGCCTACAGAGCCAACAGGTCTGTGGACGATGCAGTTAACATGGCCCTCCACGTCACCCTACAGCATCTAGACTCCCCAGCATCCTACGCCAGGATCCTGTTTGTGGACTTCAGCTCTGCCTTCAACACCATCATCCCTGCCCTGTTTCAGGACAAGCTCTTCCAGCTGAGCGTGCCCGACTCCACCTGCAGGTGGATCACAGACTTCCTGTCTGACAGGAAGCAGTGCATTAAGCTGGAAACACAAGTCTCTGACTCCAGGTCCATCAGCCCCAGAAACTCCTCAGGGCTGCGTCCTTTCCCCACTGCTCTTCTCCCTGTACACCAACAGCTGCACCTCCAATCATCTGTCCGTCAAACTCTTGATGTTTGCGGACGACACCACCCTCATTGGGCTGATATCTGGTGGGGATGAGCCTGACTATAGGTGGGAAGCTGACAACCTGGTGACCTGGTGTAACCAGAACAACTTAGAGCTAAATGCTCTAAAGACAGTTGAGATGGTTGTGGACTTCAGGAAGAATACAGCCCCACTCACCCCCATCACCCTGTGTGACTCCCAAGTCAAAACTGCAGAGGCCTTTCCGCTTACTGGGCATTATTCTCTTCCGGGACCTCAAGTGGGAACTGAACATCAGCTCCCTCACCAAGAGTGCTGAACAGAGGATGTACTTTCTACGGCAGCTGAAGAAATTCAACCTGCCAAAGACAATGATGGTGCACTTCTATACAGCAATCATTCAATCCATCCTCACCTCCTCCATAACCGTCTGGTACGCTGCTGCCACTGCCAAGGACAAGAGCAGACTGCAGCATATCATCCACACTCCTGAGAAGGTGATTGCCTGCAATCTACCAACCATCGAGGACCTGCACACCTCGAGGACCATGAGGCGAGCGAGGAAGATTGTGGCCGATTCCTCCCACCCTGGACACTCTCTGTTCCAGCTACTCCCCTCCGGCAGAAGGCTGCGGTCCATCAGGACCAAAACCTCACGCCACAAAAACAGTTTCTTCCCATCCGCTGCTGGCCTCTTCAACAAGGCCAAGGGCTTACACTGACTTTAACATTTTATCTATAAAATGACACCTTGCCATATTTACACTATGTTACCCTTTTGTATTTTAGATTGTATCTTATAGCTACTTTATATTCAATATTTATTCAAAAATTTACATACTTTAGCCCCTTAGTGTTAGTTAGACTTTGTACCTTTAGTATAGTTAGACTTGTATACCACTTATTTAAGATTTAAGATTCCTATATGTTGAATGTATGCACCTTCCTGCCAAAGTAAATTCCTTGTCTGTGCGAACTTTCATGGCGAATAAAACCCTTTCTGATTCTGATTCTCCTACCACCATCACCTGTCCTCCCTTCCACCACCATCACGTCTCCTCCCTTCCATCACGTCTCCTCCTCCCACCACCATCATCTGTCCTCCCACCACCATCACGTCTCCTCCCTTCCACCACCATCACGTCTCCTCCCTTCCATCATATCTCCTCCCTTCCACCACCATCACCTCTCCTCCCTCCCACCACCATCACGTCTCCTCCTCCTCCCCTCCACCACCCCTCCACCACCATCACGTCTCCTCTTCCTCCCCTCCACCACCATCACGTCTCCTCCCTTCCATCATATCTCCTCCCTTACACCACCATCACCTGTCCTCCCTCCCACCACCATCACGTCTCCTCCCTTCCACCACCATCACGTCTCCTCCCTTCCATCATATCTCCTCCCTCCCACCACCATCACGTCTCCTCCTCCCCTCCACCACCATCACGTCTCCCCCTCCCCTCCACCACCATCACGTCTCCTCTTCCTCCCCTCCACCACCATCACGTCTCCTCCTCCTCCCCTGCACCACCATCACGTCTCCCCTCCACCACCATCACGTCTCTTCCTCCCCTCCACCACCATCACGTCTCCCCCTCCCCTCCACCACCATCACGTCTCCTCCTCCTCCCCTGCACCACCATCACGTCTCCCCTCCACCACCATCACGTCTCTTCCTCCCCTCCACCACCATCACGTCTCCCCCTCCCCTCCACCACCATCACGTCTCCTCCTCCTCCCCTGCACCACCATCACGTCTCCCCTCCACCACCATCACGTCTCTTCCTCCCCTCCACCACCATCACGTCTCCCCCTCCCCTCCACCACCATCAAGTCTCCTCCTTCTCACCTCCACCACCATCACGTCTCCCCCTCCCCTCCACCACCATCAAGTCTCCTCCTCCTCCCCTCCACCACCATCACGTCTCCTCTATCTCACCTCCACCACCATCACGTTTCTTCCTCCCCTGCATCAAAGCTCCCCCGTATGGCCTGTGACAGACTATTGCGGCAAGTGCTGTTCGCGAGCACCTACGAAGGCCGGCACAGCACACGATGGGGGATGGGTGGCCCGACCGCCTTTATCACCAAAGTAATGATGTTTACACACCGCACCAGCTACTTTATTTGAAGTTGAGTCGAC